AAATAGGCTCTGAGGGGAATAGCATGGGCCAAGGCATTCAAGGAAAAGTGTGGAAAGTCACATGACATTTGCCAATCAAGCCAAAGATCAAAAACTTCATATGGAGGTGCTACAACAATTTTTGAGTACAACTGATAATATGAGGCACATAGGGATTAGGGTGGATGAATTCTGTTGCTGGTGTGGAGAAAGGGAGGAAAATTTGGAATATCTAATGTTTTTATGTGACAGAGCAAAAAAGGTCTGGAAACTTGCAGGGCTGTACTGGGAAGGGCTGTAGGTGGAACCAATTGACTTTAAGGCCTGGTGGAATGATGTTTGTCACTTGAAGAAGGATGATAACAGTCAAAACAGAGCCACTCTATCAACCTAAATCATGTGGTGGCTCTGGAAAACAAGAAATAACTGGCTATTGAGTACGGAACCATGTGATGCAAGGCTGCTGGTCAAAAGAGCTCAGAGAGAATGGATGGAATATGAAGACACTCAGGCTGGGAGTAAAGTAGAGAAGGATACTACATCTGACAGAGAGGCAACTACTCATCCTAGGGTACATCAAGGAGTAGGGGTGCAGATATCTGTATCCAGTGCTAATGATGTCCAAAAGATTGAAGAATATGGTATAGACATGGTGTGGAAATGCAGTGAGGTGAACAGAGGAGGGGATGATTCTAGAAACACTCACATGTGTTCAGTGGAATCAGACCCTAATTTGAGAAGGTGGCTGAAGGACAGGGTGATTTTTAATGTCATTCTCCATGTTGCCTGAAGATATCTTCCCTTTACTATCTGAATTTCAGCTTTGCTCTTTTGTGGACAATGTGTAATTTGACTTGTCATCCGCTGGTTGATCTATAGAGGAGACGGAAACAAGCTTCACAGTCCCATGTGCAACATGCTGTCGAATGAAGTGACAGTCAATCTCAATATGCTTAGTACGCTAATGAAATGTATCATTATGAGACATCTTTATAGCACTTTGACTATCACAATGTAAAGCAGTAGACACCGACTGAGGTGCACCAAGATCAGCAAGTAGTCGACGCAGCCATAATAATTCTGAGGTGGAATCAGCAAGGGCACGATACTCAGACTCAGCACTCGATCTGGAAACCAATGTTTGCTTCTTACTGCGCCAAGAGACAAGTGAATCACCCAGAAAGAAGCAGTACCCAGTAATAGAACGACGATCAGTAGGATCTCCAGCCCAATCTGCATCAGAATAACCGCTAAGCGTCAAAGAAGAATGGGTCGAGAAGTGTAAACCATGCAATAGAGTGCCCTTCATATAGCGAAGGATGTGCAACACAGCAGAATGATGAGTGGTTCTCGGAGCAGCCATAAATTGACTCACAATATGAACAGCATGAGCTATATCAGGCCGAGTGACAGTCAAGTATATCAAACTCCCAACAAGCTGATGATATAATGTAGGATCCTCAAGAAGAGAGCCATCAAGTGGAGTAAGACGAACATCATAATCAAGAGGTGTGGAAGTTGTCTGACAATCAGTGAGACCGACCCGAGCAAGAAGATCAGAGGCATACTTGGCTTGAGACAAATAGAATCCATCAAACGAATCAGAGATCTCAAGACCCAAAAAATAGCGAAGCTGGCCCAAACTCTTCATCTCAAAATGCTGACGAAGATAATCCTGCAAATCAGAAATACCAGTAATATCATCCCCCGTGATGATCATATCATCAACATAGAGTAGCAAAATAATGATCCCGAAGGAGGAGCGCCGAAGAAATAAAGCAGAATCATGATCACTCGTAGTGAAACAAAATTGAAACAATGCAGAACTGAACGTGGCATACCAAGCACGAGGCGCTTGTTTCAAGCTATACAAAGCTCGACATAGACGACAAACTTTCCCAGATGACAATGATCCAGGAGGAGGAGTCATGTAAACCTCCTCAGACAAGGCACCGTGTAAGAAGGCATTCTTGACATCTAACTGTAGAAGAGACCATCGACGAACAGCAGCAACTGCAAGTAAACATCGGACAGTAGTAAGACGAGCAACCGGTGCAAAGGTCTCTTCATAATCTATGCCATACTCCTGGGAGTAACCCTTAGCAACCAACCGAGCTTTGTAGCGCTCAATAGATCCATCTGAATTTGTCTTGATCTTATACACCCACTTACATCCGATGGGAGTCTTGCCAGCAGGTAAATCCACAAAATCCCAAGTATGAGTCTTTTCTAAGGCCTGTAATTCCTCAGTCATAGCTTTTTGCCACAATGGATCAACATTCGCCTCACGAAAAGACCGAGGCTCATGATGAGATAGAATGGCCGAATAACAATGATAGTCAAGTAAGTGAGAAGGGGGACGACTTACACGAGCCGACCGCCGCTGATCAATAGCTGGCAAAGGTGCAGAATCAGAAGAGGGCTCAGTACGAACTGTCGGTTCAGGATGCACATGTGGAGCCACTTCAGAAGACGGAGGCATGACAGGCGTGTCAATGAGCTGTGAGTCAGAACCTATATCTGTATCTGGAAAAAGATCTGAAGTAATAGACATGAATAAAGGAGACGCCGAATCAAACGAAATATGGAACTTAGACAAGGAGGAAAAGGTAGTATGCTCCCAAAAGGTAACATGACGCGAAATACGCAACCGATTAGAAATCGGATCCCAACACCTAAATCCTTTGTGTTCTACCCCATAACCCAAAAAACAACACAGACGAGCTCGAGGTTCTAATTTGGTTCGCTCATGGGACGGAAGAAGAACAAAGCAAACACAACCAAAAGGACGTAACTGAGTATAATCAGGAGACTGACCGTACAACCTCTCAAAAGGACTGACATCACTAATGACTGATGAGGGCAACCGATTGATAGCATAAACAGCAGTCAAGGCTACCTCACCCCAAAAACGATCAGGACACTGAGCAGAAAGAAAAAGAGCCCGGACAGTATCAAGAATGTGACGGTGTTTACGTTCAGCTCGTCCATTTTGTTGGGAAGTATATGGACACGAACGCTGAACTAAGGTGCCCTGATCAGAAAGAAATTTAAAAAAAGTAGAATCTTTGTACTCAAGAGCATTATCAGTACGCAAGACCTTTATAGGACAAGAAAATTGGGTAAGAATCATGTTAGCAAATTGAACATATATGCTGGACAACTCAGAACGATTTTTGAGAAAATAGATCCAGGTAAAGCGAGAAAAATTATCAACAAAAATAACAAAATACCGAAAACCACTCAGAGAAGCAACATGAGAAGGACCCCAAATATCAGAATGTACCAAACCAAAAGGTCTATCAACAGTTGACAAACTATCAGAAAAAGAAAGAGCCGGTTGTTTCCCAAGTTTGCAATGAAGACAACTAAAAGACTCAAAATGACCTGAACCCAAAAGACCCTTATTATATAAAGAACGAACTTTATTCGAAGACGCATGCCCAAGACGAAGATGCCACTGGAAACTAGACTTACTATCGGTGGCAGAAGCAGAAAAAGAGTAAGAACGAGGGACATGAAGTGACTCAAGCTCAAATAACTGGCCCGTCTTGCGACCTTTCCCGAGAAGCCGTCTCGTCTATGAATCCTGAACCTGAACACCAGAAGATGAAAATATAACATTAAGACCTTGGTCAACCAATTGACCAACCGAAATAAGATTCAAGGCCAAGTCAGGAACGCAGTATGTGTCGGGAAGATGCAAGGAAGGGGAAGAAATCAAACCAGTGAGAGTAACATTCATAAGAGTACCATTAGCAGTATGTATAGGAGGTAAAGAGGTTACGGAAGACGAGGAATACAAAAGCTGCGGGCTAGAGGTCATGTGATTGCAACAGCCAGAATCAAAATACCAATGTGATTTACCTCCGGTAGCAGACATAGAAGAATTGGAAAGAATAACCTGTTTGAGAATAGCCTCTATGTCTTGAAGAGTGGAAGACGAATGCTGAGGCTCAGTAGTGACAACCGCTGTAACAGAAGAAGTGGCGGTAGAGAAAGATTTATGATGTCGATAGAATGAACCTCTCGAACGTGTGATTTGGCTGGACAATATGTAGCAATATGACCCCGAACATGACAAATACGGCATACCACCGTAGGACAAAATGGAGCAATATGACCCCGAACATGGCAAATGTGACAACACCATAGAAGAATCCATATCAAAAAATAAAGAAGCACCAGCAACAATAGAAGACGAAAGAATATCACGAACTGGATCACAAACCGGATAAAATAGCAGTAAATGACCGAAATGAAAAAGTCCACCAAAACCAAATCCGAGCACACCAGGACGTAGCCAACGAAGAGAGGAGTCGACCTCTGAAAAATCGCGGCGATCGGAGCTGGGGTGGCTTTCACGCTCCGTCTCAATCTGCCGGCGCTGTCGCAGAAACCGGGCGAGTGTGGGCCCCACGCGCCGCCAAACGGGCTGAAATTTTGACCGACGGCTCGCCGGAGGATGACGGAGAGGATGGTCTGGGAGGTGAGAATTGAAGACTGCCGGAGACGTGCGTCAAAAGAGAAACCTATAATTGACCCTAAACTTGGTCTGATACCATGTAAGAAAGTGGAAAAAATATGTTCTGTATTAGAAGACCTAAACCTAACTTATTGTACAAGAAACCATTTAACATAACTAACAGTTTTATTTTCCTCAATTTGTCTTTGGGGTTGGTGATGTATAACGGGTGAGATGATGTTTGTACATTATGAGTTCTAATGAAATTTGATGTTTGAGTTCCCAAAAAAAAAAAAAAAAAAAAAGGAAATGGTAAGTCACACCCAAACAGCCAAACTAACACCTAAATTACACGGGAAAAGGAAATTTGATTTTTACAAAAAGCTGATTTAACTAATTTACAACTAAAATAAACAGAAATAGGAAAATGTAGTTCCCATCACCAAGTACTAAACTCCAAAAACAAACTACTCATCACACAACACTACTACTTTCTACTACTACTGCTGATCATCATACATACTTAAAAAGACAATTTCATTATTTATTTATTTTCTTATTTTCCTCCGGCCACATAGGTAACGTAGTTGGTGACGGCCTTGGTCCCCTCGGCTATGGCGTGCTTCCCGAGCTCCCCCGGCAGGACGAGCTTCACTGCCGCCTGAATCTCCCTCGACGACATCGTCTTCAAGCCGGCGTGCCCCTGCAGCCTCGCCGCCTCCTCTGCCAGCCGCTCGAACATGTCCACCATCAGGTTGTTCACCACCGTCATCGCCTTGGACGACATCCCCATATCCGGATGCACCTGCTTCATCACCTTCCACACGTACCTCTTGTACCCCTCCGCCCCCCCTCCCCTCCGCCGCCTCCTCTTCCTCCCCTCGCCGGCGGCGGCGGCTGCCGGTTTCTCCTTCCCGGCCACCTTCTGCTTCTTCATCTTCTCCCGGTCCTCGCGCGGGGTAGACGGTCCGACCGGTTTTTGTGCTCCGGCGGCCGGTTCCGGAGGCGTGGGAGGAGCTTCCAGCTGGGAATCCGGCTGGGTCTCGTCGTCGTCGACTTCATCATGGTCGTCTCCGATGGCCGCTTCCTCTTGCTGCGCAGGCTTTTCCTGAACCGGAATGGTTTTGGAAAGTGATTTTGATGTCCCTGTTCTCTTTGGTGGAGGAGGAGAGTATCTCGACCGGCTCGGATTCGCCTCCGTTGGGGCCCACCACCACCTCGACGGTCTCCTCCACCACCTTCGTGGTGGTCACCACCGTCTTCACCGCCCTACCAGATCGCCTCTTGGGTGCCATTTAACTAAAGTATTAATTTTATTTTACCCTTTTGTGTAAAAAAAAAAAAAAAAAGCGGTTGGGGGATAAAATTAGGATGGACGGACTTTTTATTACCGGAGGATGTTGAAATCGGCAGAGGGTTCGAGAGGCGACCATGTCGGCAACACGTGTTGAGGGACTGCCGAGTTATTGCAACACGTGGACAGCACGTGTCGAGAGACTTCCGAGTTACTGCAATACGTGGTGGTCAAAATTGAAGTCTTGGGGCAAGGAATTTTACCTGTTGTTTTAGACTTTAGAGGTCGGTTAAAAAATTAGGACTATTTCTGGCCATGATAATTATCTAATAGTAGTCGATCTTGTATGTTTATACTACAACGCACAGAAATATTAAATGAGTTATTAGCATAGAGTTTGTCTATTAAGTAATTCTTGCCAGGAGAAATAGGTATTAAATAAGTCATTTCTATAAGGCTTATTTGTTAAGGCCGAAAAAATAATAAAATTTGATAATCTATTTTCCATCTTTTTTCACCAGCGTTATTTTTTTGTCGGAACGTTAAACCTGACCTTATTAGCTCTAACTGATAAACTAATTAATATATTATTCGCTAACATATTTATAGCAATATGGATTTGATTTTAGTATATATATTTTTTCTTTCATATAAAAAATATGAATTTTACTTATTTGTTTTTCGTATAATACTCAATTATTATTTTATTATAAAATTTGTTGTAATAAAATGTCATTAATATTATTTATAAAAGTTATAGATGTTGTTTCTTTTTCTTTTTATTTTATGTAATGAAAATATTTAATGTACGTTAATATTATTTATTAGTGTAATGAATTTAAATTATGTAAATAAATTTAAATTAAAACATTGTGTACAAATATTTTACAAATTACACATAAATGTTTTTTTTAGAATTTAAATTTTATTTAATAATTATACATATATTTTTTTAATTTACATTATAAGGCTTTATAGTTTATTCAACATACTATGCAATGGAAATATATTTCAAAAGAATTTCACTATGGAGAGAAATCAAAATAGAAAATAAATAAAAAATATGATCATGGTTAACAATAATTTACTAATAAATCACATGTTGAAATTCTAAAGAATAGTTAATATATTTCAATTTCATTATATGGTCATTAGTGAAATTATTTAATGTATCTGTTCATCATTTCTTAAATGTTAAATTAATATTAATTTGAAGAATAATTCATTTTTCCTTTTATATATATAATGAAATAAAGATGAAGAAAAAAATTACTTAACATGTTACAATTTCCTTAAATATTTGACGATGAAAAGTCAATATTTGTGAAAAAAAAATATGAGTATAATTTAAAATATATTTTCATGTCTATATTAACAATAAAATAATCAATATGAATCACTAAAACTGAATTCCTAGTTTATTATATATCAATGAAAATCAATATGAATCACTAAAATTAAATTTATAGTTCATTATATATCAATGAAATTGTTGCAGATGTTGAGAAAAATTATTAAAGAAAAAAAATATTTTTTGATTATATCTGATTTGATGAATTGTGTATATGAAAGCAATTAATGCATATATTTTAATAGTTTCCAAAAAATGCATGTATTTAATGTTCATAGATTTATTTGCTACTATTTTCAGTAATGGTATGTATGTATGTATGTATGTATGTATGTATGTATGTATGTGTA